AGGCCGTTATATAGCAATTATTGTAGTTGTTGGCACACTAGAAAAAAACGAATCCGGTAAAATTTTTTTGCTAACTTCAGAACAGTTGGAAAGAGCTAACTTTTCAACTATTAGTAAATTATTTGATAAATCAATGAATTTATTATGGCCAAACGATGTACTTCATGATAACGTCTTATTATTTCTAACTGACGCTGCGCCATATTATATGGTAAAAGCAGCCAATAGTTTAAAAGCTTTGTATTCTAAGATGGTACATGTGACATGCTTAGCACATGCACACCACCGTGTTGATGAGAAAATACGGGGTAGTTTTAAAAAAGTTGACGAATTCATATCAAATGCAAAAAAAGTATTTTTAAAAGCACCAAGTAGAATACAAATATTTAAAGACGAAGCAACCGCAGTGCCACTCCCCCCAACACCTGTAATAACACGCTGGGGAACTTGGTCGGATGCAGCTGTTTATTATGCAGATCATCTTACTGATATACGCAAAGTTTTTAATAAACTGGATCCAGAAGATGCTGTAGCCCTACAAAAATGTCATACGCTTTGGAATGATCCATCTTTAGAAGCAAATTTAGTATACATTCAATCAAACTATGGGTTTTTATCAGTCAATATAACTCGTCTTGAATCATCTGGGCAGCTTTTGTCAGAGGCAATATCAATAGTCAATAATACAACAGATAACATTAACAAAGCCGGTGGACAAATCGGCAACGAAATATGTAGTAAATTTAAAACGATTCTAGAGAAAAACAGTGAATTCAAAACAGTATGTCAAATTTCAAAAGTACTTAATGGAGAACTTGAAATCATTGAGGGGATCGAAGAGGAATTAACTGCGGAGGATTTCGTTTTTTTTAAGTTTTCACCAATTACGTCTGTTGAAGTGGAGAGGAGCTTTTCCAGGTGACTATTATTGTTTAAATTAAATTATTATATAAATTATAATTAAATAATAATAAATCTAAATTAAATTATAATAATTTAAATAAATACAATTTTTTGTTCAATAGATTCAAAAACGTATTAGCACCAAACAGACGAAGATTTACAGCGGAACATTTAAAACAAACTTTAATTATTCAATGCAACTCTTTTTAATTTTTTTATATTTTATTTAATTTTTTTCAGTTTTTTTCAATTTGTCTATAATAATAAATGTTTATTGCATTTTTTGTCCAAAATATTTTTTATTTTTTAATGCATATTTTTCAAATTGTTCATGCATATTTAGTTGATTTTTAGTGCATAAGTGCATACATATTCATACATTTTTTAGTGCATAAATATCCTAACCCTACTTATAATATTCTAGTACTCAATTTAAATTTATGTAAAAAAATGTCCATTGAGACTGCAGGAAAAATGGCCAAATCAAAATTTAAAAAATGTAAAGATTATAATTTTTCAGTATATATTTATAAATGAACTTACAAACAAGTAGGTATCTGTTAATTTTTTTTTTTGTGTGTGAATATTGCTATCAGTTAAACTCTTAAAAATGATAATGAAAAATTGTTTTTTTCACTATCAATTTACAACAACTATTATTACTAATAGTTGGAACCTCTATAATTTTACCAAGCTGATTCGTCCCTAGAAAAAAAGTTTTTTTGCTCCACCTTCTAATCACTGTCCTATTGTAAAATCTTATAAAATAGATAATACCAGTATAATACAACAACAAAAATATCAATGATGACGTAAGTTCCACAAACACGCGCACATAATATGATTGAACAAATATGTTCCAAATAAGGCGGTCGAGACTTAAGATGGAAACGTTTCGGAGTAGATCTCGAAAATCTCATGTGCACTCCAAAAAATACGCGTATAAAATATACATGGTTGTAGGTGTGCGTCTCCCAAAAAGGCATGTAACCGCGTGGCTGATAAATGTCATATTGGGATTATTATGTAGCTGCAACTTGGACCATTTAGGAGGTACAAAACGTCCAGCTTAAAAATGTTGTGTTCAAAAACTATACACCGCAATATACTCGTTTATAATAATATATAATACCTGCGCACACCTCGATGACAAACACTATTTACTTCTATCAATCTCGCAGACTCTGAGCACTCCGAGCGAATCGAGTATAGACACACAGTTTAAATTATATTTGGTGATATGACAATTTAAAATTTTTTTTTATTAAATGTATATTGTTGATAAATTATAAATAAATAAATTTTTATTCAAATAGTTCTAGAAGTTTTCAGATTTTCTCTTCGAAATCATTGCATATTTCTTGAAAACCCTATATTTATTACGACCACGCTAGTTTTGATAACCACTAACTAAATATTATTATGTGAGACAGTAACAGCAACACACTGTTAACAGTACAATAAAACAATTCAGTGGAATGAAATTGAGAAAAAGTTCTTAAAGTTGATGTAAATGTGAATAATAAATATAAAATGTCAATAATATAAATGTGTGAGACTACGAAAATGGCTCTAACATTCAACAAAAAAAGTTCTTTTGGTGATTACTTCAGCCTATTCTGTGATCGATCGCCAGATTTTGTATGTATATTTTATACTTACACGATGTTCAATACAGTTGTATTTATCATACACGCTGCACTCAATGGTATACCTACGCCTTAAGTTTCATTTCACAAAATGTTGGATTAAATTAGTTTAAAACCCCAATCAATATAAATTTAAATGCCAAGATCTGTGAGTAGGCGCATCATGGGAATAAAAATATGGGATGATTATCCATCACATTTTGCAATTTCAATGTTTGAAATAACTTTGATTCATAAATAATTACATTTCTTATCGGAGGAGGCGAGCGTTGTATAAAAACGAAAACAACATTAATTTGTACTAATAACAACACAGGTACCTACCCTATGGTCGTTACTTTATGTGGCGGTAATAAAAATATAAATGTAGTCTAATTATTTTTATAAATTAGACGTTTTTATACTTGCAATTCCGACTTGGAACTTTTCCTTTTTTCGTAATAAATTAACACAGACTTTTTTACTGTTTGTGCTCGATTTTTCCCCCTTTTTATTTTACGGTTTTTTGCCTCTTATTCTTTGTTTTGATGCATAAATACATTATTATGACGTGTGCACTCTTTAAGGTTCGCATAACTCGCATTGCAGCTCATTACAAACTAAAACTTACGGTGGATCAACATTTTCATTTTGCATAGAATAAACCGAAAATCCAAATTACGTATTTTGATTATAGTATTATATTTAATTCAATTCAATTTAATAAATAATCGAGTTCGTAGGAAAAACAAATATAATATATGAAAACTAAAATCAGAATACGTAATTAAATATTGTATATTAACTTCTACTATGATAAATTATTATGAACCGTACGAACTCATTTTTACCACAATCCAGATGGTTTATTGGACATAAAGCGCAGAACAACAAACATAGCAATACAATACAAGTAATTATAATTTATAATGGTTCTGCATATTTTATGTAATTTGATGGATTATACCTAAACATATTATGTCTATACATCCGATAAATCAAATACCGGAAATCCCGATAACTCTCAGCTCTGCCGGTGTATCGTTAGACTCGGTTTTCCGAGAGGAAGTGCCATGAGGGACACCTCAATGACGACCTATGATAACCTAACCGAATAATTCCAATAAGCAACAATTATAATCTCGCCGGATGACGTCACAACAGTTTGACGTCTATAGTGGGTTGGGAAGGGGAGGGTTAAACGGGGGTACAAAACTGTCGTTTGGTCTCTTCTGCATATTTTGTCAGTCGAATTGTAGTTGCGTGTAACGAATAAAAAGGGTAGTACAAACGACTTTCGACCATTTTAGTGTAAGTATTGCACGGATCATAACTCTGTAATATTTTTTAAATTATTGTTCTGCCATCGTTAAAGTACAGAGCTAAGCAATATCCAAACAAATACTCTACTATTAGTGCAAAGGTTTTTTTAAATTATTCACTACTCATAGATAATAATTGTTTATTTTGTTAAGTAGGTACCTTGCATGACATACCAATAACAATTTACATTAACATTTCATGATAATATTATTTACGTAATAGTATTATTGATGCTGCGATATTTGTTTTTGACATTATGTCTCATTTGATATTTTAAGAATTTGAATGTTTTATAAATGTGTGTAAAAAATATGTATACTATATTATATATTATATCGAACAACCTACTAAGGGGTCATTACATATAAATATATAATTCTAATTTATATTATCTTTCAAATGAGAATTTATCCTAATCACACAAAATAAATGTCCTAATGACCTTTCGTTGTCACCGCCGTTTACAAAGTTTTATTTCTATTTTTTTTTTTTTTTGCTCGCACACGACCTGACAGCGGTACAATATTGTCTCTATACGGACCCGACCTGTTTCACCCAAAATCGATCTCAGTTAATAAATAATATGTTATTGCTCAAAACAGCTGATGATTTATGTAATATTATTTTAGTCATAATATACCTACAACAACATTCTGTAACTAGTTTTTAAAACTTTTCATTAAATATCGAATTGCAATATTTAATATTATGGTAACCGATATTAAATTACGGTTTAATGAAAAAATATGAAGGTACATATTACGTATCTTATATTATATGCATGTTACGTTTAAAATAAAATCCCATTTTTTTATTTTTTTATTCAATAATATCTGTTACGTTATTGCAAGTTTTCTGTGTTTTTTACTTATAACACTTATTATATCGTACTTTTGGTTTTTTTTAATATTATAAAGTCAACCCTTGTCAAAACGTAAGTAGATGTTTTCAAAAAGTGAGCATCTTCAAAACGTAACTAATAAAATAGAAAAAAATCTTGACTAAAATCTGTTTTGTGACATTCATTGTGGCATGTGCAATATATTTATTATTACTATCGTGAGATGCGTTATGGCTTATATAATTCGGGTTTTGGATACTTGGATTATATTTTATATATTATTGCAAATACTATCTAGAACTCACCTGAGCAGTTTGAGCAGATTGATCTCCACTTGGTTGAGTTGATTTTCAGGCGTAGCCGCGATTTGACATATCATTTTCCTCGCACACGTCGACCTGTCTTGCCTGAGAATTTCGTCGAATTTGTAGAAATCAGTCAGTGACTCTTCGACATAAGCGGAAACGTGCTGCGAAACGAAAAGGTCCAAAATTGTAATCATTTATAATTATTATTTTCGGTTCACAATTGGTAGGTAATAAAGACAATAATTATGATAGTTGAATTAATTTTATAATTTTAACGTAACTAAGTAGGTATCCATTACAATAATAATTTAGCTATTTTTAACTAGTTTATGTATAATACATTAAGTTAAAATCATCTTTATATACAGCTATCTTCCTATCTATAAATGTAGCTAAAACAAATTAGTTGAATAATGTTTGTTTATCTCGCAACAATTTTAAGTACAAATAAATATTCATTACCTAATCCAATTACTCTGTTGATACAAACGTGTAAATTAAGTCAAATCTAATACATATTATGCACAATGAGACAGGTGAACGACTTAGTAAGATGTACCTATTTTTAATAAACTATTTTATAATTATTTAGAAAAAAAGAATACTTATTTTTAACTGAGTTAAATCAATATTTTTCTCCCTAACTTTAAACTTATTTAGAGTTAAGTATTACCTATATTGTCCGTTAACTATACTAACTCAACGTTCTAAACGTTGACTTAATTAACTAACTTAAGTTAACTATTTTCATCTTGTTTATACAATTTTGTTACACATAAGTTATAAATATCTAAAGACTACCTAATGTATTATACTTGAATGAATGTACCCATATATGTACCTAAAGATGTTTACTGCAGTGTTGGAAAATATAATTTTTATTTGTATTTGAATAGGTATACAGATAAAAACTCATTTAAAATCTACTTAAAATGTATTTCAGGTGTGTTTGGAAAAAAATAATGTATACAAAAAATAATACTTGAGAAGTTAATTAATTCTAATTACTTGAACTATCATATTATGTCATAATGCATAATGCGCATGCGTGCGTTATGGTATAAGCATATTAGAACAATTGATGATTGATTGACAACGTAGGAGTTAAAAATATTTTTTTTTAGCCGTAAAAAATATATATTTTTTTTTTTTTTGAAGTTTTAAATACAAATATTTAAAAAGCCAATAAAATAGAGTGTTTAATACTATGTATACGACAGGGTATTTAAATATAACTAGATACTCAAATATTTTGCAGTATTATCTGCTATATTAAATTTATCACATGGAAAATAATAGTTTATGGGAACGATATAGATATTCTTACGCGGACGTATGCACCGCGGGTTATAACAAACGAGATAAATGTAAAATTCTAATTAGATAAAAAATGATTTGGGTTTTTTTTTAATGGTCGACGTTGAATATTAACCGTCGCCAATTTGTGTAGTATATAATAATAATACGTACGGTCACCACGGTATAACAAGGTACACTTGTTTTAATTATTATAATTATACGTTACATATGTGTACCTATTCACGGATACGCAGTTAACGAAAGTTTCTCCAAGCCCATGGGGTCATAATAATTATATTAGCAATGTGCATCGAAAAATCATCGAATTTACGTTATCGTCTAATATAACGCTTAACAACTGGCGTTTCCCGTACATCACTCGTGGTTTTCAACAGCGTTTTCAATCATATTAACCTATTGGGTAGATATTACATGGTCTGCTTGATGTGCGTTTTATTTACGTAATCTCGGGTGCACGTAAGTATCATGATTTTCAAGAAGACGAATTCGATGACTGAATCGATACGGAACAGTTATACCAATTCGTATCGAAGTCCGATAAGGGCGTCGCTGGTATACCACAAGGTAACATCTTTAACACTCAACATTGAACCGATAAACTCCAATTTCTTTCTTGAAAAGCTTGTATATAATATTAGTTGGTTGGTATTCGAGGCGTGCAACCGGGTAGAAAACACGGTGACTGAAGGAATTGTTAAAAAAAATAAGAAACAACTGGACTTATGGTTGAACACTGTGCCGCACAACTTGACCTCTACCACATCAAACCGCATGAGGTACACTCGTCACTGCTAATAAAAACTAATTTATCACGATAACCGTAGTCCTTTCGTAAATGTTGTTATTGTTTATTTAATTAACAGCTAATGTAAGAATACCTTCTAGAATTTTGCAATTGCGATCTATTGGGAGTTTTTTTGGGCGAAAGTCGCTAATAAATTCTATTGGAGCTGATCGAAAACTGAACATGGTTGACATAGGTACTGTATACGCCTATACCTATAAATTAATATACTATACGGCTGTTGAGATGGAATTCAAAAAAAAAACCAAACGTATTCGAAAAACAGTTAACCAAAAGGACGTTGGTCGCCGACAGGGTAATCCGAATAGATTTAACGTATCGCCGACTAAATAAATAAATAAGGACACGTGCAGGATTAAATCGGGAGAACAAATCAAGACGAGTTACAAGATCCAACACTGGCCTACAGTCGGTGTGTATTTTACATACATATATCCTGTCCGTATTTTACAGAATAACCTTTTGAGGGGATTCCTTTAACGGTGATAAACTGAGTTTTCGATTTGTTTTACTTGAGAAATATTGTCACGACGAGCAAGTTGTTTCGGTATATGTTACATGGACAATTAACGGCCACACACACATATAATAATATATTTAATATTATATTATTATCTTTAGCTTCTTCCCTAAGATTGAAGATTGATCCGTCGGACTTTTACGATATATATTTACAATAAATAGTAGGTACCTACCAAACGATATGGTCAGATTCGACAAAATTGTTAGTAAACGTATTAACAGATACATAAATACTGTTTTTTTCATACTAAATTAGAATAATAATATTTTGAAAGAAAAATGTTTGTGTTGACAGACTTGAAATACAAATAAATATGACTGTTATAGAAATAAACGCACATTGCATCCCAATTTTTGGAAATGTGTAGCCATTAATTTAAAAATCAAGAAAGTCAATATCAATATTGATAGCTGAAATTCCGATGGGTGATAAACCTAAAGACAAAAGACACACAGAAAGATTCACAAAAACATTACAAGAGTCTACAGGTGGCGTCAAAATGTACCTTTTTAAAGATTTTCATAAATTTATTTCGACATTGAAATGATATAAATGAGTATTATACTGACGAATACCATATTTTTTGTATCAATAATTGTTCATCTTTATTCATTACCTAATCATGTTATTGTATACACACCTGGTCACTTGATACAAAATTAACCCACACAGTATTCTAAAATATTTAAATATTATTAAACTAATTTTTTCGCTGCGATTTACAGTGTAACCTCTTTGTTGGGTCCAAATAGACCGACGCAATACGGATCTGCGCGTTCAATCGAAAATAAAACTTTACCTACATATAATGTTTTATTCATCGATAGGTGCCCAAAATACGTAGTAGGTATTAATAACTTGACGATATCATTCGACGTACCCAACTGCTCGGCAAAGTGTGAGCAAAACCTACAATCAACACCAATCGATACAGAATAATGAGGGTGTTCTTAAGTTGTTTTTTTTCTTGTGCACGGCAGAATTCTCACGGCGTGACCCTTAACGCCCTTGAGATTTCCCTGCACCTATTATATACCTGCCTGACTGTCTATATCTATATCATATACAGGGGGATTCGTTTACATGGCTAAACAAAAACAATTACAGTACGATTGTAAGACACAGGTCAAGCTTTGTGCTTTTGAAAATGAAAAACGATCTTATACCTATGGTCTTAAGTATACATAAGATTACAATTTTTACTAAGACATGTCATTTTCTACCTGTGTTTTTTCTACAAATTAAAATATTTTTGATTCCATGACAAAAAAAGGAATATTTCAACCGACATTGTGGTATAAATAATATATCCGTTATTAAATTGATAATTTTTCTTTTATTAATAGGCTTTAAGTTTGCGCTACGTCAATATAGTGTTTAATGCGTATAAATTAATCATTGTATTTTTTCAGTAACCGATATTTGAATCCTACCAAAATGTTTAAAAACATTTTGTGTTTCTAAATGAACTAAAATATGCGTGTAAAAAAATGTATCGCCCTGTTAGCCTTTTCCATAACATAATAGGTAGTGTACGGTTGTACAGTTTACCTGATATGATATATTTAGTTTATACACCCTATACATATTGAAATGTAACAATGACACTAAAAAACTGTATGTTTGATTAATATTGAGTTTGACACACTTAAAAAATACTCCAACAACCATTGGGCTTGAGGTTAACGAAAGTGAATTTGAACATGAATAATGGTAAAATCGTATGATGTACCTATGAATTTACTATTATATAATGTATTGTTAAGTTGATATATGGACTTAAATTGCAAAGTATTATAATCGGTAATAGAATCTTAAGTTTCTTTCACAGGTACAGCTATAAGTTCCCCGTCACATTATTTTTATTAAGATAAACGAGAAAAATTGAAAACGTGTACCTATTTTAGATTCTCGACTGAACTGTAAATGCGATATTAAATTATAATTCTCACGATGGTTTTTTAATATAAAATACAATTCAAAATTACTTTATTCAATAATACAATCAACAAATAAGTTAGTTTCAGACTTATACACGCCTAAAGTTTATAGTTTATATCTAGTAAGATTCCATGAATATATTATTAATATTGTGCTTTTGATTTGTTTACATCTCTTTCCGAAACGCAGTTCACCGATTCATAAATCATAAAAAGCAAAACAAATATTTCTTGAAAAGTACTTATTAGTTTTAGCTATTTCCAAGTTTCAAAAACATCGAATAATTTCGAGTAAAAAATGTAATAAGTAATTTGTATTTTTAATCAAAATACAAATTTCCAAATTATATAGTTTTTAATTTCACATCTTAACTTTTAAAATCCCCGGCTGCTTGTTCAATTTTAGTTTGAAGTGCTATTTAATAAGCGAATAAACTAGCTACTTAATGAATTCTTTTGAATTTGAATCAAGTAACACATGTTTGAATGATGTAACTATGTAGGTGTGCAAATAAAATAAATGGAGAAACTTCAAAAATATCGTTGGCAATTCCTTATATCGATGTATAATTT